CACCCTCAGTCTATATTCCTCCCTTAATTTTTTAAAGATAGAAGTATTCACTGAAATTTCGGAACCAAAGCAAAACCTCAAATTAATTCAGTTACATTTGAAGATAATTACGGCATTTGCATGGAACAGAGAGCAGTTACATGATGGTAATTACTTGCACATTGACTGGAAATTTGAGAGTTATTCGACATTACGAGAGAGGCGCGTCTCAGAACAATCTCTCTCTTAATTGTGCGTACCAGATAAGGTGAGAGTGGCCTCTTGTTTTCGTAAGACGTCATTGCGTGTGGTGTATGTAAAAATATAATAAAACTACAGACCCCAAATCCATCAGTATGAATTACGAAATTGTGATGGATTGTATAGCGTTTTTTTCCCCCTTCTTTTGTTTGCGAAAGGGCTCTAAGTTTGAAGATTGTGGTACTCCTCCTGTCAAGTTGGGCCGATCCATAACCCAAGTTCGCTCCACGGTTGTACTGTCTAGTACAGAACTCGCTGTAGTAGACAGGCAGAGATGTATAGATGGATGCGTTGATAAACAGACAAACGGACAGAAAGACAACTGCGGCCTTAAACTTCAGATGCCGTAGGTCTAATGCCAAGTAGACAGCCTAATAAGAGTTGCAGGTACATGCTTGTAATTCTTACGGTTACAGTTCCTCCCCATTTTTTTCATTCTAGGAGCTCCCATTACACTACGTATATTTCTATTTGTAGTCTATGACACAGACTGTGTAGAGTCGAATGTTTATACGATAGTAGCCTAAATATAGGATTGGAACAACTGTGAAAAGAAGAGGTCGTGATTTAATTTAAGACACTATCCGCGTATTTCCTTAGTAGGACTGAAGAAAACCATGAAAACCCTCACTTGGTATAATAAGTATTCCTGCTGAGATTCGAACCTGACACTTCCCGAATATAAATGCGAAATGTTACCGCCTGAGCTAGTTTGTTTGGTACAATTATTAGATCAGGACCCGCGATAACGTAGGCGGTATAGCGACAGGCTACGGGGTGGACGACCGAGGGGTCGGAGTTCGAGTCCCGGTAGGGTCAAGAATCGTCTCTTCTCCACAGCGTCCAGACCGGCTCTGGGGTCCACCCAACCTCCTATCTAATGGATACCTACGCTCTTTCTCCGGGGATAATGCAGCCGGGGTGTAAAACTGACCACTCAGTTCCAGCTACTACCGAGGTCAAGGAAATGTGGATCTGTACATCCACTTCCCCATACGCCTTCATGGTGTAGTGCTTAATTAGTTAAGGGCAGGGACAACTTTACCTTTTTAACCTTTACTATTATCAGATTGTGTCTACAACTACATGCTAGAATGACCCTCACCTCTTGTTGCATAGTAAATGATAATCATGGCCTACTTTACGACACTACCCTCACTCTCACCTCCACTCTTACCCCAATAGAAACACAGGGTGAAAAAGAAAAATGTTCCTGTGCTTAACTAATTAAGCACTATGCTATGAAGACGTATGGGGGAGTGGATGTATAGGTTGACATTTTCTTGACCTCGACATTAGTTGGAGGTGAGTGGTCAGCTTCACGCCCCTTCCCTTTTACCCCCAGGGGAAGAAACCCCGGTACCCATTGGATAGGAAGGAGGCTGGGTGGACCCCAGAGCCGGTCTGGACTACGTGGAGAAATTTCTTTACCCTACTGAGATTAGAAATCCGACCCTTCAGTCGTCCAGGCCGTAGCTAGTCGCTATACGGACTACGCTATCCTGCCTCTGCATTGAAACATAAGCCTATTGAAAGTTATACGTAACATTGATAGCTATAGAATTTCAGTCACAGATCTCTTGGATGCCAAGTACACGTACACAATCAGAACTGAGACATCGTCCTCAGAATTTGTTATGGGGACACCCATTTCTATATATTTTATAAACAGACACCCAGTAATAATTATGAGGAAGGTTGAACAGCGGAGCTGGTCGTTGTTCCGTTGCGCTATAAAAAAAGGCTGCCTGATATCGACGGAAGTTTTGCTTCTTTCAACTTGTTGCAGATTTCTGGTTCAACTAAAATTTCTACACGTCTTAATAAATTGTTATTATTGTCACTAAAACTGCGTCAAAACCACTGCCTGCAGCATCAAGCTGTAATATTAATCCAATTCTACATTTTAATTTAAAAGAACAAAGATCAACTTCAGAATTTTAGAATGTATTTCCGGGAAACACTGATACTTTTAAAGGCTTACCATAAATTTGTCCGATGTGACACACACACAAGAGGTAGAAAGAAACGACAAATAGGTTACACTTTTATAACAGGAAACCTTAATGGTGGAGTCTATTCCTATGTTATTTCTTTTAGGAAAATGGCTTCAAATTCTGTGAATAAAATATTTTGTAAGTTACATAAGACGGAACAAAAGTTGAGGGGAGAACTTAATTCGGCAATTTATTAAAAAGAGGAAAGATGTAAGACCAATTAAACTTTAAAATACTATAATCACATGTATTTTTCCTGACTTCGGCTTCTCAACACAGATTCGTCTAGAATGTATTTACAAATGCAGGTATAGGTACACTTTCAAGCGTAACTAGACAATACGATAGGATCTGTTTAAAGATATTCCACATACTTTATCATATATAATTGACCTCGACTGCGTTGCCTTGGAAACGAGACCGAGAAAGTTAACATTCCACATTTGTGCCCGTAGTGCACGTACCATCATTTTTCTGAAGATATTGTGTATGCAGTTTTGTTTAGGATGATGATCTCCCTAAGTTAATAAAACTAGTTAGAACCTTTTTAGATAAAATCGTCGTTTTGATTTGAGGGGCCATCTGAGGGACCCCCAGTTTTGTAGATGGAGCGTTAGGCTGGGGCCACACGAGCGCACAAAACGCGTCCGTTGTAACGAACGTCGTGACGTTCGTTGTAGAAATAAACAAGAGAGGCGAATGCTACGCTTTCTTCTGGCTCCATTGCAGACAAAATATAACGCACCGCATTCTGCAACTGTGTGGTGTCCTCAGCAACGTCCGTCATAAAGTACGTTCGTTGCAACGGACGTACTTCATGCGCTCGTGTGGCCCCAGCCTAAATATTCATCGGGAAACGAACTGTGATGGATTACCTCTTAAACTTTTTTTTCCTTGACACTACAGCCCCAGTGGGCCTAGGCCTACCTCCATGAACTCCGTTCACTTCGGTTTTTCTAGATGTTACACATTCGGTAGGACTCCTTGGGTGAGTGATCAGCTCGTCGCAAGGCCTCTACCTGTACACAAACACAGAAAAACGCAAACAAACATCCATTCCCTGAGTGGGATTCGAACCGACGATCCCGGCTTCCGAGCTAGCGAAGACAGTACATGCCTTAGACTGCTCGGCTACCGTGACCGGCTTTACCTCTTAAATACCGACTCAGAATACGATCGGCTCAAACGATTCGGGCTAGCGAGACGCTTACACACATATAGATAGAGGGCAGCCCAAATTCTATTTTATTGGGTCCTCAGAACGTGTAAATATGTTAAAACCTCGATCACGATACATTCTCATATACTACAGGAGCCTATATACGAGAAAATAAAGATGAAATATTAGCGAAGCAGAATACAGATAGATTCATGAGACAGTTTTGGGCGAGATATTAGATGGAGGTGTTAACTTGATGAATGATAAATGCGAATGAAATAGAGAAGAAATGTGCTTTCTTGCAAGAACTACATTTCTATCCTGAAGATGGAGGCAGTACATTCCTCCAAAACATCGTTAAACTTTTACCATACTACATGGTGTCACATCACAGAAGTTCATACTCATCAACTCTAAATTGCCCTGAAGAAATTAGAAGATGCACATTTATTACGGAGTGTCATGCATTATAGAAACTTTTTTTTAGTGAGTCAGAATTTGTGGATTACAATTTTATATCCTTTATGTGTACCAAAACTTCCGTAAAACAGAATTTTGATTATGTATATAGATGCTTCTTTGACGTTCCAGTATGTCAGTTTCAAGGATTATACCTGACTTCTTGACATCGGGGATAACTTACACTGTGATCTGGCCTCGCCATAGCTCAAGGGGTTAGTCGCTGGCTTCCCACCGCTGCGGCCCGTGTTCGATCCCGCGTCTGGTCAAGTGGGATTTGTGGTGGACAAAGTGGCGCTGGGGCAGGTTTTCTCCAATCCCTGCCAATCTTCATTCCATCAAATTCTCCATAATCACCCTCACCTATCACCTGGGGCTGGTACAATAGGCCAGAAGTGGCCGCAGTACAAGGGACTTAGTCCCACCCCACTAATATTAAAAATAATTACACTGTGATCACTTCTGTCTGAAGGTTTCACATTCAGGGATTAAAATGGAGAGGTGTGAAAATGGTATCCACTGGGCTGTTTACATATCTGGGCCAGTCTATCAACCACCTCCCTTCCTGGTTTCAATTGTAGATAATTCTTTTAACTTAGGGAGCTCTGACACTTCTCTCCAAATTTGGACTATAGTGGTCAGGGTTCGTGGTTACAGATATAGAGGTCACGGGTTCGATTCCCGGCGCTACTAGATTTTCTGAGAAGTAGTGGGTCTGGAACGGGATCCACTCTGCTTCGTGAGGATAACTGAGGAAACAGCGGCTCGGGTCTAGAAAACCGAGATTAACGGCCGTGGTCATCCGTTGTGCTGACCACGCCACACACACTATCCGTAAAGTTGGTACTAACTTCGCCGACAAGCGGCGGTCGCTCTGTCGGTATAGTTCGCTTGCGGACTACAGGCCACGGAGTTTGTATATCACCTGCAAGTTCCTGGAGGGTAACGAAATGGTGCACAGTTGATTTATACTTACAGACACAGACACATAAGTGGTATTCTGAAAATATATTTTACTCGTATAAATGCGGGGTACCGAAGGAGTGTATGTTATTGAAAACAAGAGAAGAATTTAATAATAGCAGTCTTTTGTGACAAAGTGTGAGCATAATCACGAGGGTGAGACTTTGCGGTTCCTGTTGCAGGGTGCAGAGAGGAAGACACGTGATGAGGAACGACGAGCCGCTAAGCGCAAGATGACAGCCAGCGGGCGGAAGAAGATGGATGAACTATACCACCCAGCAACAGAAAGGTCTGAGTTCTACACCATGAGTGACCTTACTAAGCCTCCTGTCCTCTTCACCCCTGCAGAGGACATTGACAAGGTAAGCTGGGTGCGTTTCACATCAAATCATATTTATCATATTAACTTTTACTCTTACTGGATATAATGTATAGAATTGTCATCAGTGCTTTCCTTTCTAACCATTATTAATAGCTAGGAGGTGTAGCTCTGTCTTCTTGTCTGATGTCCAAAAAAAAAAA